AGCTTTGTGTGTGAGGCTTTTTAGGGTTTTGTTTCTTTCTGGGCATGGAACCCAGGGCCCTGAATATGATAGGCAAGTATCTTCCACTACACTACATTCTCATCTCTACATGTTTGAGAAACTTCTAAAGGCGTGGCTCAGTGGTACACTTGCCTGGCATGCACAGGCTTTGATTCTATTCTCAGCCCCTCCCTCCCATGTTTTAAAGCACAAGCGTTGTATGCTCCATATCATGACTAAAATGAATACAAGCAAAATCCCTGTGGAGTCTTCGCATATCCCTCGTCATTGTACATGTCTCGTGAATGGAAAGCAGAGGTGAGACTTGGAGGAGAAAGCGTGTTATTTCATGTACCATTTACTCCATGTCTTTGTCACACTACCAGTAGTGCAACTGATCATGTACCGTACAGATAGTGTGCTTAAGTAGTTCTAAAACGATGATAGAAATTAAACTGACAAAAACCTACACTGATTGTCACCCAATTCCATGTGTAAGAAATACATTTGTCTGCAGCATGTTGCACATGTGCAGTGCTCAGCAAACTGCATGGAGTCTGGAGAGGGTGTGTGCACTCCCACATCTTGTCTTCTCTTACAAAGGTTGAAGATGCCTACACTCTTGATACGTGTTATTTTTAGATTGGCTCGGAATCCTCATGGAATAGATGTTTCAGTCAATGTCTTTATAAACAAGCAGAATTCAAACAGAGTAGTATGGTTTATCTTTTGTTTGCCAATAATTTTTATGATGCACATGATTTAACTTTAAGGTTGAGAGAAAGAAAGATTTAAGATAAAGATGGAAAAATAAAAACAATAGAAAATAGAAATGGCAGAATAATTTAAAAGGTGCTTCCCTGACAATATATAAACTACATGTTAGTTGTATGAGGGGATGAAAGGCAAAAGGAGAGAGAACACCAAGAGAAGCTGGAATGTAGAAAAGGGTAAAAGAAAATTCAGTAAGTTTTAAGAGTGTCTTTTCCTTAAAATAGACCAGGTAAAGTTTTAAAAGACCAGATGAGAAATAAGTTATTCCATTTTCTACAACTCATAGAAGAGAGAGGAGCCTTAAAGGGAGGAACCACTCTAACCAAATGGGAAGGAATCAAGTTGGGCGGGAAAGTGCCTCTCCTAAATACAACAGACCCTCCGATTCGGAGCCCAGCATTTGGATGTTGAAACAGGAGAATGTAACGCAGGAGGCATTTTCAAAACACATCAAAAGATGGGATGCTTTCACATTTTAAAAACCAGTTGTTCTAGTTACATTTCTGTTGCTGTGATAAACACCACGACCAGCAGCAACTTAGGGAGGAAAGGCTTTATTTCAACACATCTGTCCAGGTCACAGATCATCATTAGAAGAAGTCACCACCACAGGAACTCAAGCAAGAACTGAACTTCTTCATGGTGGAGAATACTGCTGACTAGCTTGCTCTCTGCTTCATGCTCAGCTAGCTTTTTTAATTCAGCCCAGACCCACCTGCCTAAAAGCAGGTCCACGTATTAGTGGTTGGGCCCTCCTACTTCAATCTTTAATCAACACAGTCTCTCACAGACATGCCCACAGGTCAGTCTGATCTGAGCAGTTCCTCAATTGAGGATTTCTCTTTTCAGGTGACTCTTCAGTGTGTCAAGTTGAGGATAAAATCAGCATATTAATAAATATAACACTGGGCACTTAGACTCAATGGAGACAGTGCCAGAAAGCAAATGTTGGCCTCAAGAAGATTAATGGTGAAATTCTAAAGAGAAAATAAAACAGAGGAATCCCACAGCACAGTAAAAGTATAGTATAGTAGTGTTTGCTCAAAAGACAGTGGGTAAACTTGAATACTTTTAAATATTCTTGATGAGTTTATAATGCTGAGTTCACATGATAGTTTGTACTTATTAGGTGAAGCAATAAAGTATCACATTAAAATAAGGATGTGGATTCTTACCAGTCTTATTTTTAGGCCCAAACATAGACTGTTAGTAGCATCAGATTTGAAAGGGGAACATACAGTTGGCTCTGTTGCTTTTGCACAATGGTTTTTGTTGTATTTGATGGCTTAAACTTTCTCCTTTTTTAAAATCGTCTTCTGCCCCTCCCCCCGACCCATGACATTTCATTACTTAAAAAAAAAATAGGATCCATCATTGCTTGAAAAAAAAATAAAGTACCTCCAATCCTAATAATTTCTAACTCTTCCTGACTGTAATGTTCTTTTTAATAATCAGAATTACCCTACCTCCCACATCTATATTTTAAGTAAATAAAGTAGCCAGGGCAGTGGTGCACACCTGTAATTCCAGTGCTTGGGAGACTCGAACAGGAGACTGCAAGCTTGAGGCCAGCCAGGGTTACAGAGAGGCCTTATCTCTGAAAACAAAATGCTGCAAAGGACAACAAAATAGAGAAAGTTCACAGAGAAGTTTCTGTATGCAGGAGTGAGCCAGCAGCAGGACACTAGGAGCACTGTAGAAAGATTATCAAGCAGGCAGTATCAGTGTTATTTTAACAATGAAAAAAATGAAGATTATAATAACATTTGCCTCTTCCCTCCCTCTAAACCCTCCCAAGTACCCTCTTCTTTGCTCTCTTTCAAATTCAAGGCCTCTTTTTCTTTAATTGTTGTTGTTGTTGGTGGTGGTGGTGATGGTGGTGGTGGTGGTGGGGTGTGTGTGTGTGTGTGTGTGTGTGTGTGTGTGTGTGTGTGTGTATTCCTAAATACATAAATATAACCTGCTCAGTCTGTATAATGTTACTTTTAAGTATATGTTTTCATGGCTGACTGTTTGGCATTGGATAGCTAGTTGGTGTGCTCTTCCCTGGGGAAGACTTTCTCTTGCTCTCAGCATTTATTAGTTGCCTGTAGTTCTTTGCATAGGATTGCGATGTTGTGAGCCTCCACTCCAGTCAGCATTAGCCTGTCTATTGGCGCCATCCTTATTCAGAACTGTCAGAAGCTAACCAGAAGTCTCACCAACGTGGCTGCCTAGACGTGGCCTGAGCAAGAGTCAGTGTTTCAATACCTAGAAGCCAGGTGAAGGACCACAGGGATGGCTTACTTAATCACATCCAGGTGACTGTGGTGGCCGTGCCCCTCCCCCCAGTTTAAATGCCCTGTACAGTCATGGAGGAGTTTAGTTTCAGTGACTGCATGGCAACTACTTACTAAATTCCATGTATAGTTTGATGATTGAAGCTTCACTTCAGGTTACATGTGTGATTAACATCATACATTGACAGCAGATTTCCTTACTAAAACTGAACATTTACTCTTAAAATGTATCCAATTGAAGGTGACTATAGCTTTCTTTCAAAATTGGTTGCATATAGAAATGAACATGTTTTTTGTTTGTTTGTTTGTTTGAGATGGTTGTGTCCTCAAACACCCTGTATAGCTGAAGATGACCTTGAACTTCTGATCCTAAGTGCTGGCATTAAAAATGTGCCTCTTAAGTGTGAGCCTCTGTTTACTCTAACAGGAAGCATTCTAAACAGCGACTGTAGTAAAGCTAGGTGAGTTTTATCATAGTCTAAGGTAGTGTCCGATGGTTGGATACGACAGAGCAGCCCAGTGCTAGGTAATTGTTTAAATACAATACATTTAGCTTTCAGTATGCCTGAGTTTTGTTTCAAATCATTATTTCATGCTTTGCTAAAAATTATTTCATGTCTTAACATTCTTTACAATTTGTGATAAATATTTAAACTTAAAGGCTCCAAGATATTAAATTAAAAACAATTTACTCTGCTCATTCTGGTAAGGCCATAACTGTCACAGACCTTTCCCCATGTCCTACCTTTTATACCAAGTTGCCAAAAGTAATAGGATCTGCTCTCAGCAGGAGCGTCTAGCCAATCAAAATACAATCTCTCCTGCAGACTCTTACAAGGGGTTGGCTAGCTTTGAGTATAATTAACAGGAGCTGGTGAGACATTGTTTTTCAAACACAGGAGAGGATAGTTTTCTTGACTGTGAGTAAGAACAGGCTGAAGTAGAGCTGGAGTTTTAAATGCTGTGAAGAAAACATGAATGAGGATGCTTATTCACACATTGGTCAAAGAGGGTTTCACTTACTACACCACAACACATTTTAAAAGATCTATTATATCATTTTATGTCTGTATGTGTGGCTATATGTGGGTATGTGGGTGTGTGTCAGGGCCGTGGAGGCAGAGGCAGCGGAGCTGGAGTGACAGGTGATTGTGAGATGCCTGATGTGGAAGCTGGGATTTGAACTTGAGTCCACAGAAAGAGCATTATGCACTCTTAACTGCTGAGTCGTCTCCCCAGCCCAAATATTTTTTAAAGAAACTCAGTTTGCTACATCCTTGCATGTGTTTCTTGGGTCCTGATGATGAGACACGGAAGAGGGGTTGGTTTTACTTTTTAATATTATTTACTTGTTTGACAGTATGGGGCATGGTGTTATTTAACTCAAATAGTGAGGATGCCTGAGGTCCAAAGAAATCCCTTAATTTCTCTGAGATTTGAATTTGGGAGGTGACCGCAATGGCGGTGGGTGGGGGGGTGACAAGTTGTGGGAACAGCATGCTGAGTCAGGTGCATGTGTGCCTGGCTTCATCAGCCCCCAGACCCTGCTTACCCTCTTTGCAGCGCCTGCAGGCCAGCTGAAGAAGGGTACCGCTCCTCATGGCTTTGCTTCGTTCAGAATGGATTTTTGTTGTTGTTTTGTGGGAGCGTATGCTACAGATGATACTTGAAATCTTGAGGCAGTGTAGCTCACAAACCGTGGGCTCTGTTTGGGATGAGACACGAGACTTTCACTGCTTTTACTCTCTTTGAGGGTACTCTTGCCCTTTGACCCGTGACAGCCATTGGTGGATGGCACACGCCATCTCTGCCGTCCTTCGGGTTGATTTGAACACATGACTTTAAAATGGTTGAGAGACCTGATTCTGTTCATAGTAATGAAAGTATCTGAAGTGTCTGTGATGCTTTGCCAGCAGGTGAACTCATACTGCTCTGATTTTCTTCCAGATTCATGAAAAACTCCACTACTATGAGAAGCAGAGCCCCGTGCCCATTCTTCATGGTGCAGCAGCCTTGGCTGATGATGTAAGTGTGCCTTTCTGGGTTTGTAGGATGGATCAGCCACGGACCTGTCCCGAGCGGGACCCACCCCACTGCAGACAGATGTGTGTGATTCTTTGAGTGAAAACTAGAAGAAGTTGCAAATGTTTCCCAAATCCCTGTCATCACCAAGCTTGTACTGATGCTGTGTGGATTTCTACCCACTTTCTTTTTCTAAAATAGTGCATAAAGCTACCCTGGTATTATGCCTCAGTGACTATGTAATAGAAATTGTAGGCTTCAAATTCTATACAGAGAAAAACTGTCTGGCATCAGTGTTCTGTGAAAGTCACACAAGGGGAATGCTTTGGAGAAATAAAGACAAATGAGATAGTTACATTGCTGACAGTACCAAAATGACAGATACTAGGATAGGAATTGGGCATATTAAACCCATAAAAGGCAGGATTGTTTTTAAAATGGATTATGGAGCATAGTAATGATTTATGGATATTAGACCATTCCAAATTACCTTCATAACCAAAAAATAAGTTTTAGAAGCATTTGGCATTGATGGAGTAGTTAATTTCCTGTCGCTATAATTTTATTTTAAGCCTGGGGAAGGAGAACTCACTTGCTGATTCCTACTGTTAGCTTTCAGCCTCGGATGAATTGAGAACACACCTGGATAAACTGTAAGGGCGCGGAGCTAGACAAACGTGTGCTGGTGTGTGGTACTGAGTGCTCTATCTTATTGTTGCTCTTCAGTTGTGCCCTTGGCGTACAAAGCAAGCTGTAATTCGGTGTTGCAGAATGTCAGGGCCCCAATACAATCAAGAAATCAACCATCTTCCAAAGTTGATTTTATATCCTGATATGTGAAATAAAGCCCCATAACATTCGAGTTGATGGCTGGTTAGTCCCAGGCACGTCCCTTTTGTTTTTCTCTGCAGACATGAGTATGTTTTAACACATGTCCCATAAAGAAGTGTACTTGTGCAGCACATAACCCAGACTTTTTAAAGGTGAATAAAGGTGTAAAGATAGTTGTATAAGTTGCTGCAGTTGCAACTTGAAGGAGCCTTAAAAACCAGAATGAAAACACGGAGGGTAGGGAGGTTTGGAAATAACTGTGTGGAAACTAACACCCCCTCCCAAGCAAAATATAACAACTTCTTTTAAAGATCTTTTTTTTACCATTTTTTGTTTGTGTGTGTGTGCACATGCACCTGTGGGGACCAGAAGAGGGTGTCTAATCCCCTGGAACTGGAGTTACAAGTGGTTGTGAGCTGCCTGATATGGGTGCTGGGAACCAAACTCAGGTCTTCTAGAAGACCAACAGATATTCTTACTGCTGAACCTTCTCTCCAGCCCCCAATTTTGCTTTTGTTTGTTAAATAAAAAAGAATCCAAGGCAGGGAATATCACTCAGCATCAGAGTATGTCACAAACAGGTGAGAAGCCATGGATTCAAGCTCCAGAACTTCCAGAAATAAACACACTTTAGAATCCATGTAATTATGATAAACCGTAGTGTTTAATTCAGTGGAGTAGTGGATCTAAATGTTAAAACACATGTGTGTAACAAGTAAAGACCTGTTTTTATAGGTTAAACATCATATAAAAATTCTACATATCAATAAAATAAAAGCTATTTTGTAGTGTAATTGATGAATCTATCAATTTCCTCTGATTTTTGCCTTCTGTATATTCTATATATTGTACCTCTGCAGAAAGCTCCTCTTCCATAGATAAAAACCACCTTGTCCTGCCAGCATTGTGGGGACAGTGGGGGCAAATGGCAGTTTCATGTCATGTTTTAAGAAGAGATACTAAATATATACTCTAAAAATACACCATACATTTCATAATTCTAATCTTTTTTGTACTGTTGAATCTTGAATCTTGTTTTTAACTCTTTCTCTCTCTCTCTCTCTCTCTCTCTCTCTCTCTCTCTCTTTGTGTGTGTATGTGTGTGTGTGTGTGTGTGTGTGTGTGTGTGTGTGTGTGTGTGTGTATTTCTTATAGCCTAAAATTGACTAGCAAATGCTGGGAAATTCTCTTTTTACATTTTACCTTGTTTATAATCAGCAAATGATAATTGTATGTATTTATGGAATGTGGTTTAGTACCCTTGCACACACATACGCATTTTATAAGAATCAGCTCAAGGCAGTTAGCTTGTTTGCTACCTCAACATACTTCTTTATGGTGAAAACATTCCACATCTCTTAGTGGAGAGCAGGTTCAAAATTCCAGTGTTTTCTTCTGAACCAGCAGGTAGGCATTCTTGATGATTACAATAAAGTAGCTCTGACATTGTTGTTACCAGAGTAGTTGCCGAACTGTTATGGGTTCATGATGAACTTGGCTCATATTTAATAGACTTTGTAGACCATGTACAGAAACACAGTAAAAGCCGCAGACCATTGACTCTGTTAGGAGCACTGGTGTTCTTTTTATCCCAGCTCTGCACAGCACAACTACTGTGGGTTTCTGGAAGTCCTGAGGATTTCACCACCTCATTCAGAAGCTGTCTTTTTTGCTTTTTTGTACACTGTCAAAGCCGATCCAGCCCTTTTTACAAATGGCCCTTTGTCTGTGTGCAGAAGACCATTCACACAGATGAAGTGCTGGGATTTGCCCTCCTGGCAGTAAATCAGGAGGTGAACTGGCTGATGGGATTGCTCCAGTTGTGCTCAGATCCGAGGCTTGGATCTGGTCTGCCATGGGCCTGGAAAGAAGAGCTTGGGTTGATGGTCTGCTTCATTTCATGCCGACTTACCCTGTAGCCCTGGAAAGCAATAGCTTTGAGCAAACCAGATTCAGTCGTGACACGGCGAACCTAATGGTGTTCTGCGAACTGTTGCTCACATTGCTGTAATCTCCCTTGCAGCTGGCTGAGGAGCTACAGAACAAGCCACTAAACAGTGAGATCAGAGAGCTGCTGAAACTGCTGTCAAAACCGAATGTGAAGGTGAGAACGTGCTGCACCTGTAATGTACGCCTTCTCCAGGGCTGCTTACGGGGCTGCGGGCGAGTCACGTCACATGTTTGCATCTTCAAGTAACTGTTCATTCAAACAGTGTACCCCAAATTGTATCGGGGAAAACTGAGCTTCTTCAAGAGTATGATGAAGTGCTTAAGCTGTACAGGACTGTCATTGCAAGCCAGAATCAGAGTAAACAAGTTTGATTTGCTTTGAAAGTCAGGTTTCCATTGATGTAGTAGGTACAGAAGAGAGACCCTGTGGTGATTTCAGGCTGGCTTATTCTTCTTGGCTAATTGATGGTAGGTGCTTCACGACAGGAGGATTTCAGCATTTCTGTTCCTCCTTCCTTAGCATCTCCCACTTCCTGTTCTTCCTGTTTCACGATGCCATTCTGTGTTACAGAGCGGAGTGGTTTTCAAGTATAGAATAATTGCGGAACATTGGCGGCCAGACCTCAGTTCTCTTGTTTTCACTACTTGGTGATTTTATCACTGTCCTTCCTCCAGATGGAAGGTATCTAGAGAAAGTGATTCATAGTTTTCCTGCTCTTGTTCTGAGGTCATGAATGCATGGAATCAGACTGTGTAAAGTCCTGTAATGTATACATTTTGACACGACACTGTTGCCATTATGTATAAAATATTGTCTCATCTGAATTCTGTAATTAAATGATGGATTATTTTGTGAAGATTACTAATAATAGTAGGATATTGGGTGAGATTTCTTTTTTAAATAATATTTTATTAATTCTTTGAGAATTTCATAAAATGTATTTTGATCATGTTGATTGCCCACCACCAACTCCTTCAAGATGAGAAACCTGATTTTTGCCCTTCTGGGAGAAATGTCTTTTGGGGCCATGCTCTATTTGCTCTTAAAATTACATTTTAAAAAATATAGTGATGAATCAGAGTTGGAGTAAAACATGCATAGACTATGATGTCTAATCCCTAGAGAGAATGTACGAATACATGACTGTAAAGAGTAAATGGACTATAAATGGTACCATAAGCCTAATTGATTTGTAATGGCTCAGGAAGTTAAATTTTAATTCTAAAGCAAGATAAGATTGGAGCAAATGTTGCTTGATGTTAAGGTGCTTCGGGAAGGAAGCTTTTCAGTCAGACAATGCTCTGAAGATTGCTCCGTTTGGTTTTGTACTTCCTGTAAGAAATTATCATCAGCCACGGCAGGGTGTGGTGGCTGTGAGAGGCTGGTTAAATTCTCTAGTGAGATTGATTTCTTGGTTCAAAAATACTAAGAAGTTGAAAGCAATGTTTCAGATGAGAAATGAAAGGTTTTGCTGTTCTATCCAATAGTGCTTGAAGTGAAATTAGCTAATAATAAGGACATCATTCTGGGTAGAAAATTTTATTTGGTTTAAAAGTCAGCGTTATTCAATGACATTGTGAATATCTATATGATAAAACTTCACAGTGATTGAATAACTAAACTTCATCATGTGGAAAATATGTTAGATGGATGATCTGTTTAGTTTTTATGTTTATAAAGCACTGTGACCCAAACCTGGATGCAAGGTTAGCATGAAAGATGTATTTTCAAGGAATATACATGGAGAGTGGATGGGAGCCAGACATGGTATTTCAGTGAGTAGCCTCACTCTGTGACGAGTGTATTTTTCTTCTGTTGTTGACTTAACCTTTGACATTAGTCTCCTTGAAGGAATTTCTATAGCTGCCACCTCTTGAGTGTCACTTTTATGGGTAATTCTTTTAAAAAGCTTATCTTACTAACAAATTTTAGGGGTTCTTTTAGAAATAATCACTTAATTCTATTATCCCAGGAAGCAAGATAAATAGAATACAGTATCTCTACAATTCTTATATAATATAAGCAGTTTTTAAATTTTTAGTGGATAAAGGAAATTGCTTAATTTTAGACTGCTATTCTGTTTCTGTTATTTGACAGTACTGAGGAGAGACCTGAGATGTACCCCCAGAATAGTAAGACTTTTTTTCCCCCCAAACATATCAAGATATGTTCAGTCAAATACATGGTGACTATAGAATAATAACATATAGACCTCACAGGCTTGCCACATTTTTCTTGGGTAAGTTTTATAGCTTATTTTTGGTAATTTGCAAATGAAATGAGATATACCTCCAACCATTGTTTCTTAGATGTCTATTTAGTGCCTGTTTTGTGCCAGGCTCCCTCAGTAGAACTTGTGGATGATCTGTTTAAATAATGGAGGTGGTAGGAGAGGTGCCCATTGAGCAAAGAAACACAGCAGATAATGTGGAATGACAGAAATGCATATTTGGGTTGAAGAATTGACTTGTGGGTGAGCGTGAGGTAGACAGAAGAGGCCAGAGATGTCCATAGTGGGTTGGGTGTGAGATGTGAAGACTAAATGCTTTAGGTAAAGTTGAATAGTACACGAAGTCTTAATAAAAAGAAGAGGTTGTAAAGGTTGAAGCTACAAAGTAAGCTTCATTGGCCAGACAGTACTGTGTGCTAGAAGACAGGCAAGAGCTTGGAGCTGAGCTTGCCTAGCGTGGTCTGCGATTGCACTGCTGTTTTTAATAGGCTTTCTTTTATCTTCAGTGGCTGCGCTATTAGGGAGATAAATGATATGACCACCCTAGTTGTAAGCATTTGAAGAAATTGGGATTTCATTCTGAGTGCAGGGGAAAGCCATCAAAAGGATTTCAGTAGCAAGGTGACAGGATCCCTCCCTGTGTGGAGTGCAGTGAGGAAGTAAAAGTCCTGCTGAAGAGGAGAGCCAACTGGGAGTCTGTTGAAAGGACTCCAGTGCAACATGCTTGTGGCCCTGCTGGAGACAGGGCACGGTCCATTTTTGAGGCACAACTGTACACATAATATTGGGATAAATGGATAATCAGAGGCAAAAATAAGAGAAATCCATATTACAATGAATTCCAAATAGATTCAAGGTTTAAGTGTGTGTGTGTGTGTGTTTCAGTGGAAGCATATTTGCCTAGTATCTTTGATACCTTGCAGCAGGTATGCGCGCGCACACACACACACACACACACACACACACACACACACACACACACGTATATATGAGTAGGGAAATGTTAGTTATAGGATCACAGAGCAGGGAAGTAGTCTCAAGCACAGAGACACATAGACAGATAGACAGACAGACCCACAGAAAAGCAGTTTTTCAAACATGCTGAATACATTATACAAATGATTTAGGTATCTATCCTTAGTGAGATAGAAGGGTTGTTAATTACTGACCTCTATCTCTAGCACTGTGTTTACATCATGGGAAATTTCAAGTAATTTAAAGTCCGTGGAAATCAAGCAGCACTGGAATCTTTGTTCCTTGGTAGTACTTTTGTAAGTCTCCCTCTCTCCATGTGTGTGTGTGTTCACTTGAATGTGCGTATTTATTTGCATGAAGGTCTGGACTGGCTGGTTTTGTGTGTCAACTCCACATAGGCTAGAGTCATCAGAGAGGAAGGAGCCTCAGTTGAGGAAATGCCTCCTTGAGATCCAGCTGTAAGGCATTTTCTCAGTTAGTGATCATGATGGGTGGTGCCATCCCTAGACTGGTAGTCCTGTTTTCTATAAGAAAGCAGGCTGACCCAGGGCACATTCTGTGCCCCACCCCCATCTCAGCACCAGCAAGGCTGCTGGACCCTGCCCCCAACTCTGGTGGAATTCCACTGCTCTGGTGCAGTTCCCACAAGCCAGCTATGAGGTGAGTGACCCTTCTGCTAGCTGGACGTCACCACTCACTGGATCCTGTTATCCCAAGACCCACTCCGCTGTCTGACTCCCCCCTCCACCTCATCATCATCCCCATGACCAGCCCTTCCCTGCAACTCCAACAGACTCCATAGGCCCAGGTACAGCCACACCAGTCAGAAGGACACCACTCCTCCACTGGGCCCCATAGCCCAAGGCTCCACAAACCTCAATACAGATACTGGACCTGAAGACATGCCAGTCACCAGAACCCTTGGCCACCTAGGCCAGAAGACAAGAGAGGAAACAGAAAACAAAGGAACAATACACACTTCCATCAAAGACAAATGCAAGAATCAACAAATAGACCTATAATCATCCCAAATCCAGATGCCTAAACGCCAGTGTAAGAACACAGTCAATAACAGAAAGAACGATGTCACCACCAGAACCTGGTGATCCTACAACAGCAAGACCTGGACATTCCAATGCAGCTGAAGCACAAGAAAACAACCTTAAAAATAACTTTATGAAGATGATAGAGACTCTTAAAGAGGAAATGAAAAATTCCCTTAAAGAAATTGAGGAAAAGACAAACAAAAAAAAAAAATGGAAGAATCAATAAACCTCTTAAAGCCAAGAAAGCCAAGAAAAAACAATCAAACAGGTGAAGGAAACAGTTCAAGACCCGAAAATGGAAATAGAAACAATAAAGAAAACACAAACCAAGGGAATTCTGGAAATGGAAAATCTGATTAAGTGAACAGGAACTACAGATGCAAGCATCACCAACAGAATACAAGGGATGGAAGAGAGAATCTCAGACATTGAAGATACAATAGAGGAAATAGATTCATCAGTCAAAGAAAATGTTAAATCTAAAAGATTCCTAATACACATACACACACAAAAATCCAAGAAATCTGGGATACCATGAAAAGACCAAACCTAAGAATAGTAGAAATACAAGAAGGAAAGTCCCAGCTTCAAAGGCACAGAAAATATATTCAGCAAAATCATAGAAGAAAACTTTTCCAACCTAAAGGACATCCCTATAAAGATATAAGAAGCTCACAGAGCAACAAATAGACTGGACTATAAAAACAGTTCCATTGCCACATAATAATCAAAACACTAAACACAGAATAAAGAATATTAAAAGCTGCAAAGGAAAAAGGCCAAGTAAAGACAGACCTATCAGAATTACATCTGACTTCTCATTTGAGACTCTAAAATACAGAAGGGTCTGGACAGACATCTTGCAGACTCTAAAAGACCATGGATGCCAGCCCAGACTACTA